AAAACATAATAATATTTTATAAAATAATATAAATCTTCTTACAAAAATTCATTTTAAACTTTTAAATTAATTTTAGAAAATAATTTGTAAAAATAAATATTTTGGACTTGTAGGTACTGTTCTTAATCTCACCGATTGAATTACAAAGTAGGATCTTTCGTAGATATCATGTTTAAAAAAATTAAAATAGCATTAAATTAAAATTATTTTATTTACAACATGTAAACCAATAAAAAACAGGAACAAAAATAACATTGAACACAAATAATTTATAGACAAAAATAGAAAGAAAAATAATGTAAAAATATCAAAATATTAATTATATTTAAATATGAAATAAACATACCTACACGAAAATATTTTAAAGCAAAAACTTAATTAACAACACAAAAAAACACTCTAAAAACTAATCGAATTGAATAAGAGAAGAAAATTATTTTATCACACATACCTACATATTTTAATTTATTTACTTTGACCTTAAATAATTTCATTTAACAACAATTAACAATCTGCTAAATATAACGAGGTATAATAACTTATCAATAAAACTTATAAACAAAACCACAGAAGCACTTTTAGTATTTACTGACAGCAGACTGACAGACGACAGAAAATGACAGTAAAGAACATAATTGCGCCTTTTCAGTGCAGGGCTGCCAACAAATGTGCAGAAACCAATTTACATTGAAATCTGTGTGCAGCCCTGCGCATCTAAATTGTTGACCGAAATTCCTATTTAAAGAATCGTCTCTCTCTCCCTTGTCTCTGGTGGCAACAATGCACGCAAGAGTGCACTCATCTTATAACAGGTGGCAGCACCAAAAGAACACTTTGTGAGTGCGTTCAGAAATTTTTGTTTCAAAATTTCCGAACTCGTTCAGATAGTGAAATATGCCATTTTATGGAAGGACCAGAATAAAATATTTAAAAAAAAATTCCCACTAGGAAAGAAAAAAGTAATAGATTAACATCGTTTCGTAATAGGGTAATAAATTTTCGCTGAAAGTAATAGATCTATTACTAAAGTAATAGGGGTGGCATCACTGCTCAGCGCGGCGGCAGCACTGATCGAAAGACACTGTTGCCGCGCTGTACGCTTCAGCAGCAGTCAACGTGTTAAGTGGAGGTCCGAACAAATTCTGGTTTGAATTGAAATATTTGTTGCATTATATCTACTCAGAAATCTGTCCTCATCAGTATCCAGTGCTGTGCTTAAAAGCCTATTTTTCACTTTGCCACTCATTGCTGTCATATTCAATACTAACATGGGGCCAAAGTCCCAGCAGTAGACGCATTTTTTCTCTTCAACGTAAAGCTATTCGCATCATAACTAATCTTAACCATAGAGATGATTGCAAAATAAAATATATTGAACAAAAAATTTTAACTTTCCCCTGCGTTTTTATTTATAAAACTCTAATCTATATCAAAACAAATTTAAGCAACTACCAATCCCTTCACTCATATCAAACAAGAAATAAAAACCAATTAAGACTTCCTTTGTCCAGATTGTCAAAATCTCAAAAATCTAATGATTATATAGGTCCTAAGCTATTTTCTAAACTGCCAGATAGCATAAAAACGTTGAAATTAAATAAATTTAAGCATAGGGTAAAGACCCTGCTAATTGCCAATGCTTTTTACTCTATTCAAGAATACCTAGATTTTAAATTTTTAAACTAATGTATTAAACAAAGATTTTAGTGTAGGTCACATATCATCTTTAAAATATTCTTTATATGTATATGTTTTTCTATTGCTTATATGTATTTAGTTGTATACTTTTATATTTTTATTTGCCTGACTTGTGTAAATACTGATTGTATAATAACACGAAATAAATTATTATTATTATTATTATTATTATTATTATTATTATTAACCTATTCGGCATTATTTTCCTTTGCAGCAATTAGCATTCTCCCCACCTTCTATTTCTGTGGTAAACCTCAATGTTCACACATGACAGCTGTCCAACAACAACGCTGTATGATTGACCAAAAAAAAATGGCGCTAAATTTAAAATAGGCGGTCTTAATAGGACACCCTTTAGTTGGAAACATACACTGCAAATTAACGAAATGTTGCCAGATTCCTCCAACTATTTGTATTTTGTCATAATAAAACCAATTTAATACAAAATGTATAAAACTAATATTAGTTTTCAAAAAGACTACGTAGAAGTAGGAGATTCATTTGAGGACTTGCTACATAATTATGGCTAATTTTGACAATGAATTGGCTTATGTTGAGTCTGCCAAAGTAGATTTTGGCATTGATTTTCGTTTAGCCTTAAAAACAACAAAAATTGATAGTAGTATTTTATGCTTCACAAAGAAAAGGGCCTTTTTATATATACAAAGGTTATTAAATGAGCTAATAAAACGCGTATCCGAAAAACTTAATTATTTTAGAAACTTGCAGGCGTTCAGCCCAAGGTGTTTATCCCAGATAGCTCATTTCAAATTTAAAAATTTGCCATTTTTAAAAGTATTTATAAGGAATAAATTTATGGGTTTAATTGAAAACCAATACATTTAAATGATGTGCATTGAAAAGAGTTTATTAAAACTAAAATGTATGCGAAAAATGCATGTTATGCGCAATTTAAATGCACAAAAGAAATATATAACTTGTTTAACCAAAATATGTATTATAACTTGACTGATAATGATTTTGCAGACACCATGGAAATAGTGCAGTATTATTTTGGCGTACCTTCCGCTATAATAATAATAATATTATATTGTCGGAGCACAATAAAACCTCGTAACTTTTTTAGTTTATTGGGCCCAAAAATATCATTTAAAAAAAATATAGTTACGAGGTTTTATTATTTTTTAAAAAGAAATAATATTTTTAAGGTTTATTAAATAGTGATGCAACGGTTTCGGGTTTTACGGTTACGGTTACGGTTACGGTTAGCTATACGGTTACGAATAAATTCACGGTTATTCAAAAAAAAATTACAGAATTACGAAAAATAAAGTTTTGAAATTAATACACACGTTCAGTAAAGGTTAAATAATAATTTATGTAAAACAAAAACAGAATTTCTAATAAAACTGTAAAACAATAGGAAATTAGTTACATTTTAAACCTAAAAACAGTAAAGTAAAACCTAAGTAGGTACCTGAATAATATATTTAAAAATATAAAAAAATTAAATGTTAATTTAAAATAATTCAAAATTCAAAATTTACGAGTCAAATTTTTATTTAAAAAACATAACATCTGCAAATTCTGCGGAATCAGCCTGTTCCTATTTGGTGTTTGCACAAGACCTGCAGTCGAAAACAACCTCTCCGAATTCACTGACAATGGTTTGTATAATACCTTAGTGCCAACACTCTTAAACGCCGAAACGTGTAACACGTTTTCCAGAATGTAAACGGATTTGACTTAGGTGGTATATTTGGTAACGTTAATTACTCCTCAATCTTTTTTTAACATGCATTCACAAAGTAGCATGAAAAACCGTAAATACGGTTACGGTTAACGACATACGGTTACGGTTAACCGTATAATATCGAAAACCGTGAATTAACCGTAACCGTAACCGTAACCGTTGCAACACTAGTTTATTTATAGTTTTTAAAAAAGAAAACTAATGCAGTTTTTTTACCATGTACTTGTTTTTTAATTTAATACATTGCCAAAGTTGGCGGAACTATGGCGATTTTTAAGGCGGGTTTATACAACAATTGATAATTTAGGGGACAATTTATTTCATAACTCAATTGTTAATTTAATGCATAACTATTAGATTAATACATAACTTTATAATTTGGTGTATACAATTTATTAATTTAATGAATATTTTATTTTTTTAAATGTCAATATTGACAAGTGACACTCAATTTCCTAGATTTTTTTTGGTTTCTGTGATTTATTTTATAAATAATAATTTATCAATAAAAATAGTTGAAGTGAAGTGAAGTTTATAAAATGAAGACAAAGAATAAAAAAAATTGGAAATCCAAAAAAAAAAGAAAAGTCCCATTTCTGCTAAGGAGCGGCTAATCCTAACTTTACAGTAAGTACTTTAGTACCTACTTATCTCAGAAGGATGCTCCATGCAAGATATAGCTTTTAACCATCGTATTGGAAAAGTTACAGTGCATGTTATAATTAAGGAAGTTTGCAAAGTTCTATGGGAAAAGTTGAGTCTAACAGAGTTACCAGAACCCTTAAAAAGAGGTTTTGAGGATATAGCATCTGGATTTTTTGAAATATGGAATCTTCCTAATTGTATTGGATTGCAAGCACATCAATATTATGGCTCCAAAGAATTCAGGAAGTGTTTTTTAACTATAAGAAGTCCTTTAGCATTGTACTAATGGCAACTTGTGATGCTTATTACAGGTTTTCATTGGTTGATATTGGTGCTGAGGGCTCTAATCCTGATTCGGCAAACGGCTTTGGAAATGCCCTAATAAATGCTGAAATGGGCATTCCAGCTCCAAGAAATTTATTAAACACAAACTGCAAGATGCCATTTTTTTGTTAGAGACGCTGCATTTCCCCTACATGAACATATTATAAGACCATATTCCGGCTTCTACCTGGATAAAAAAATATTTAATTATTGAATAAGTAGAGCACGAAGGTGTATTGAAAATTGTTTTGGGATTTTGAGTCAACGTTGGAGAATTTTGCAAAGGCCCATTAATGCAAGTTTGGAAGTTAGTGAATTAATTGTCCAAGCAACAGTTGTACTGCACAATTATCTGCAAAACAAGGAAAAGGATCTTCCCCAATGCAGGTATTGTAAGAGCTGATGAATTTTCAGAATATCTTAATAAGCAGAAATCTGTGACCATACATGTGGAGTGTAGTAAAAATTATACTTGAAAGTGTTCTATTGCTGCAGCTATTAAAAGACAACATGAAGACTTACAGTACATCTACTGTAAGTCCTCCTCGTTTTTGAGCACGTGTAAGTTAATCACCCTTTTGTTTTAAAAAACAATGCTTATTTTGCGGCCAGTAATTGAATGAAGAGCATGAGAAAAGAAAGTCCTTGGATTCTTGCCGTAAAATTAAGTACACTTACATTTAAAGATCCGATTCTGGAATCAGCTCGGACTCGTTCTGATGCTAAGGCAAAAGCTGTTCTTGCTCGAGTCGAATTCGAATACGATTTAGTTGCTGCTGAGGCTAAGTATCATCATGATTGCTTTATTTCCTTCTTGAAACCGACCAATGGGGTTAAAGTCGGTCGTCCTCAAGATGAAACTACGAATCTGACAATGGAGGAAATACTCACTTACATCGAAAATAGCGATTCACTTTGAACGAATTGAAAAATGTTTTTAAAACTACAACTATAGATAACAGGTACGATTAAAACTGAGGTATGGTGATCAAATTATTATCATTGAAAAATCGGGAACATCAACATTCATATGCATGGAAGACAATCATTATGATATTTTAAATCAAGCTTGGTACGAAAAAAAAATGAATAAAAAAGAAGAACGACTCAGAATCCTAGAAGCTGCTGAAGCAATCATTCGCGAAGATATTCAATCTACAGTATTAAATAATTCTAACCACCCTCCACCAGGTCTCGCATGTTTGAAGATTAAAACAATGAAATCCCAGAGTCGCTGATACATTTTTTGGAGCGAGTGATTTTAAAAAATAAAAGACAAATTTAGATCATTTAAAATTAATATGCACAAATATTAGCCATAGTATCATGACTGCTGTTCGGTCGAGGTCTTTTAAGTCTAAATTACATTTAGGTCTCTCAGTTTTTTCATCAACGGTTTGGGTCTAAACGTATTATACAATTTTTTTCATCTTTTGGTTTGTGTGCATCTTATAATGATACAATAATGTACGAGACAGCAGCAGTTTTTCATCCCCCTCCTCATACCACTAGAAAGTGGCACACTTATTCAATACGTTGCAGACAATGTTCATATTAATGTATATACGCTATACGGTAATAACACGCTCCACATAATGGGTATTATTCAAATTGTTACTCCAAAAGATTCCGTTTTACTAAAAGAACCTATGCCACGAATAAAATAAGCCCTTTCAGCAAAAAAGATTTCAAGGCAAAAGCTTATGTGCCGATACAGATCTATCAAAATGATGGTTACAGTAAAATAAATGTCCAAGATTTTGCTTATGGGACTGAAACAGTATCTTTCCTCAAAAATGCTGATGTATTATGGTTTTATGGGAAATGTAAAAATGCGCCGTTACCCGGTTGAAATGGTTTTATTGAACGTTTAACAAATAATCATATGAATTCATCGACCAGCAAGTAACTATAATACTATTTATACGACTTTACTTTATGAATTAGAGAATGCAAAACTGTATGCATTGTGACTTTCGATCAACCTCTATATGCAAAAGCTCGAGAAATTGTATCAGCCGCACCTGGCGGCTCTGAAATATCGAAGATCATCATCAGACTCGGAGGATTTCATCTACTCATGTCTTTTCTTGTAGCAATTGGGCATATTATGCAAGGAAGCGGCATGAAAGAAGTATTCGCAGAGATTTATGCACTGAAATCATTAGAAAAAATTATTTAATTTTTGTTTACCATATAACAATTCGTTAAATGGATTTTACGATTATCTCATGGTATTTATTTATTAATTACTTCGTCTCAGCTTTTGTTTAATTTCGTTCGTGTTCCTCACCAGCATCGATAGACAGCTGTTTCGCTCTATGGAGCTCATCAGTATCGAGGTGCAAGGAAAATACATCCTTTAGGTCACAGATGGCGTAAAGCACGCTATATGTTAAAGTACAGTAAAATGTCTTAAACATATAGAAGACCACGTCGAAAGACGGTAGATGGCACCACTAAGGTCGTCTTACCGCAGTGAATGATTCCAAAACCTATATAAGGTCAAGGAATCATAATTTCGTTCGGGTTCAGCACCATACAGCACCTCGATACTGATGAGCTCCATAGAGCGAAACAGCTGTCTATCGATGCTGGTGAGGAACACGAACGAAATTAAACAAAAGCGGAGACGAAGTAATTGATAAATAAATACCACAAGATAATCGTAAAATCCATTTAACAAATTGTTATATGGTAAACAAAAATTATAAAACCTATATAAGGTCAAGGAATTATAATTTCGTTCTTGTTCCGCACCATACAGCACCTCGATACTGATGAGCTCCATAGAGCGAAACAGCTGTCTATCGATGCTGGTGAGGATCACGAACGAAATTAAACAAAAGCGGAGACGAAGTAATTGATATTAGAAAAAATGCTCAAGGGTCATGCTTACGCAAGAGCTGTCTGAGCTCATACACTTCTTCAGCTTGCTTTAGCAATTATAATATTAGTTAATATTAATGACATTATGGATGCAGATCTCATCAGTAACGTTGAAAACTTAATACACTCTTTTATAATAACATTGAAAATGATGATGAAGTATCAGGAGCATTACTTATTATTTTAGTTTTTGATTAAATTTATTATGAGGAACGAGGACCTACTGCGAAGCTTTGGATACAATATTTTCATATGGTTTCAATTGCAAAAGAGTTTTTAAGAGCTGAGCGTATAGGGGATTGGAAAGCTCATTTAAACTCTGTTCAAGAAATGCTTATTTTCACGCGTCTGGACATTTTCCTTATGCTAAGTCTGCATTTACAGGATATGCTACAATTACAGAACTCAATAGATTTTACAGAAGGATTTTTCACTGTTGGACGTTCAGACAAATTAAGTTGTGGAACTTCAACAGATATGGCACGGCGATCTCTATAGAGAACGCCGTGGATATGGTGATCAAGCAGTCAATGATGAAAGCTATGAAGACAGATGGAGGTATTGCTCGAGGGAGAAGTACGAAATAGAGTGTAAATGGGTTTATAGTATGCATGCAATGAATACAGTTTGTGAAAGATTAGAAGATCTCGCTAATGTTAGAATGGATACGACCGAGCAGCATGTTGATGCAAGTGATTCACGAGTACAAAAAGATGCAAAAGATATACGGAAACTTCTTGAGTGGTTCTCCACGCATGATTCTTTTCCAGAGGTTGACAAAATTTTATCTATTGCAAGTGGTGATAATAAAATTAATTGTTATAAAGCTCGTGAAGTTGGGCTTGACTCTATGTCAAAAATAACAGGACTAACATTTAATAATATTAAATTAAAACGCGCTGACAAAGTAGTCCCTCTTTTAGCTATGATTAGCACCATAAAAGTTCACGATAAAAAAGTAACAGGACCCTGTATTATTGTTCCAACGAATGAGTATTACTGCGCCATAAAAAACAATTGCAATTAGCTTATCTTCCTCCAACCTCAGCGGCTGCTCATCAACATATTTTTCGGGTATATTACCAAGTTTAAGTGTGGCTTGGTTATTAGCTAGACCCAAAAGACTGGGGTTGGAAGTTGGTCGACAATACATTAGGACCAGTTCAGACTTTACTCATACCAGCTCTGGAAAAACTGCTAAACACAACTGTAAAAAGGGATATAGTGCTAAATGTGGTTGCAAAAAAGTTGGACTGTTTTGTTCCCTAGCATGTACTACCATGGGCACCAAAAACTCCCATGCGAAAAGAGATAGCGCATGCAATACAAGGCTTCGAGTTGCGGTGTTGCCAGATTTTAACCTTTACTGCCTATTTGTAGGAAAGATTAATTAGTATATTTAAGCGCTTCATTAATCCATTCATATATTTTAATGGCTTAACCGCCAGCGCCAACCAAAGGTTTATGAATTGCGCTTTAATCTGTCTGTAGTTGGAAATTACGGTAACGAAACGGGTTACAACAATCACATTGTTTTACGTATGTTGATAATTTAAGTAAGCTACTATTACAGATTATGCGACTCTACTCGCAATTTTTATTTTATTTATTTTTAAAAACCATAAAATTATCATACGTTTAATTTTATAACTTCTTATAATAAAATCTTTAAACAAATATTTCTACTTGTTATTCTCCATCAGTATTACCAACGCAAATGCTGCAAGCACACTTGTTGCGCGTAATATATATTTGAAATAATGCTACCAATGTTTTTACGTACACTAAAGGAGCTTACAAAATAAACATTATGAAAGCACAAACAGTAATAATAATATAATAATATGATATTATTACTTATAAAATGTATAAAAAGTTTTATAAACTACATAAAAACAAAAAATGAAAACAATAATAATAATAATAATAATAATAATAATAATATTTATTGATTAATAGTAAAAATAACATAGATTGCAAGTTACATTAAAATCAATAAATATGCTAAAACACTTAAATGTAATTAAAATTTGTGCGTGTATAGAAATAGAAATATATGTAAATAACAATTATAATAAGTGTTAGTAAGTTATGTATAAGGGTTAGTAATTATTTAAAACATAAAATAAAAGGCATTTGGCATAAAAACTTGTACAATTTTGGACAATACTAGAAATATATATATACATATATGTAAATAACAATTATAATAAGTGTTAGTAAGTTATGTATAAGGGTTAGTAATTATTTAAAACATAAAATAAAAGGCATTTGGCATAAAAACTTGAACAATTTATTAAATAATTGAATAACGCCAACTGACTTGTTTTGGACAATTTAAAATATGCAAAATTGAAGTAATTTAATATGTGTTTTTAAGATCAATTTGATTATCCGTGAACTGCCTGGGTTGCTGTAGTATATAGTTCTTGCACATTTTTTTATAAGAGTTACCTTTGGTATTTTTTATACTATCAGGTAGGTTATTATAAACTTTTGGGCCCAAGTAGGTTAGACAACGTTGGCCTATAGTTTTTTTCATTTTTGGAATGGGTAAGTAGTTGCAACTTCTGGTGTTAGCTAATTTAAAACCTTTTTTTTCATGAAACATACGCAACAAAAGGTTCAAATAATATAACTGTCTACAATCCATTTTTCTTGATTCCTGAAACAGGTCATCCGTAGGGTAAGTTATTTCTACCCCTTGAATAATCTTTAGTATTCTTTTTTGAGCCACTTCCAAATCTCTTAGTATTGATTTGTAGACACCGCCCCAGCCTAAGATACCGTACCTTAAGTGCGACTCCACGAGTGCATCATAAACCGTATGTAGCTGTGGGATTGATAAAATTGGCTTAAGTAATTTAAAATAGGAAATGAGACATCTCAATTTTTTTGTAATAGTTTTCACTTGGGAGTCCCACCTCAAATGTGGATCTAGCGTTATACCTAGAAATTTCGCTGTTTTACAAATCTTAATCGAAAATTGATTAAAATTTAACGTGTCGTATTGTGGTAGGCTTTTAACGTACGAACCAAATGCCATAAAGTTGGTTTTTTCAACATTTAATGTTAATAGATTATGATCAAACCAATTTTTAATGGAAACAAAATCCTTCTCAATATTAGTTTTCAATGACTCCCATGTTGTACCCTTATAAAAGACGGTGGTGTCGTCAGCAAAACTTAAAAGTTTTCCTTCCGTTTTAACCCTAAATAAGTTATTTATGTACAGCAAAAACAGTAGAGGACCCAGAATGGTACCTTGAGGAACCCCACATATGGGAGTCACCGCTTCGCTAAATTGTGTTTCTACCTTCACTAGTTGGATTCTGTTTTTCAGATAGTCAGCAAAGAGCTTCAAAAGGGTACCTCTAACTCCAATGTCTTCTAAAATTTGAAGAAGTTTATCGTGGCAGACTGTGTCAAAGGCTTTAGCCAGATCAAGGAAAATACATATGTTTGGGGTACCTTTGTCAACAGCCTCGTAGATATCTTGAGTTAATGACACAATTGCTTGATGAGTTGATTTGCCCTTCTGAAATCCGAACTGACTTTCCGATATAACTTTATATTTTTTAATATAGTTATCTATTCTTGATTTTAGTAGGGACTCAAAAATTTTAGTGAAGTTAGTTATGAGGGATATTGGTCTATAGTTGACGGGATCTTGTTTATTACCTTTTTTATATATGGGCACAATAATAGAAGTTTTAAAAGATTTTGGACAAGTACCAGTCTCAAAGATTTTATTTATTATCTTAGATAAAGGGTATGCAATTATATCAGAAATTTGTTTAATGGTTTCACTTTGTATATTATCTATGCCTACCGATCTTTTATTTTTTAGTTTTTGTATTTCTTGTTTGACTTCATTTGGACATGTGGGTAATAAAAACAGTGAATTATTAAGTCTTAAGCGATTTTCCTTAAAGTTGTTAATTTTATATATTTTATTTGCTAGTTTATCTCCCATTGTAGCGTAGTGATAGTTGAAGATATTTGAAATTTTTTGTTTGTTTGATACTATTTGATCATTGTGACGTAATTCTTTGATATCATTGTCTTGTGATTTTGGATTTTTAAAGTTATTTATTGTATTCCAAATTTGTTTGTTACTCATACAATCATTAATTTTATTTTTATAATATTCATTTTTAGCTTTATTTATTAATTTTTTTAATTGGTTTTTGTAGGTATTATACTGTATTTTTATATTTATATCCTGTGTTTTTTTAAACGTTTCCAAAATAATTTCCCTATGATTAATTGAGTTTATAAGGCCTGTTGTAATCCATGGTTTACGCTTTTTATTTTCTTTTTTAATCTTTTTAAATATTGTATGTTTATTTATTTTATTTTTAATAATATTAATAAATTTTTCTGTGGCAGATTCAACTTCACTATTAAGGACTTCATTCCAATTTATATTGTGTAAATCATGTTTTAAGTTTTTGTAATTTATTTGTTTAATAAAGTTTCTTGTTGATATTTGTGGTTTAATTACATCATTTAATATAATCTGTGTAGCAGTTGGATAGTGATCAGTTATATTTGTTGTGACTATGACTGGAAGAACATTTTTGTATAAATTATTATTGGCTTTTAAAAATATATGATCAATGCATGATTCTTCCTTATCTTGTTTGCGAGTTATGCCGTTAATAAGTGATTTAAAACCGTATTCCGCCATTATATCTAGGTACTCACTTGAAGCGCCAGTTTCATTTAGTAGGTTTATATTTAAGTCTCCCGTAAAAAGACATAAATCATTGTTTGCCGTATATAATTTAAAGTATAAATCAATATCAATTAAAAATTGAGTTAAGTTAACACCGTGTAGCCTATAAATACCTATAACATTTATGGTTTTAGATTTACAATATTTGATTTTAACATTAACTACTTTACACTGATTAATATAATCAATTCTGTATGTAAAATCTAGTTCATCATTCAAAAAAACTATAACACCATCGTTTTGGTTAAATGTGCCTTCACTATATATCCCAACGTACCCATCCAGTTTTACATAATCAATATCAACTTGCCTAGTTTCGGTTAGAACTATGCAATCAAATTTTGTTGAAAATTGTTCTAAAAAGATTTCAAGCTCTGGTAAATTTTTATTTATACTACGTATATTAAGATTTAACATTTTAAAATTTGTGTTCTTAGAATTTATTTTAAATACTTCGTTACATTCAAATGCATTATTTAAAATGTCCGTTTTAATAATATTTGTGTTAGAATCGAACTCTCTTAAATAAGGATCCATTTCTTTCAGTTTTGAGGGGAAAAAAATTGAAAATGTAAATATCTTTTGCCCAAATAACCAATCAATAACCTATGTATATCTAAATATATTAGTACAAATTATATAATACAAATACCAAACATTAAATATTATATACAAACGTTAAACAAGTAATGATTTAATATACAAATTAACAAATAAAATCAATAGCAAAAATTTAAAAACAGAACATGTATGTATACAGATTATTTGGGTTTAGATTGAGCTCCTGTTTGTGAGGTGGATCTGGTGTACATGCGGGATGCGGAATCAGACTTTAGATTTGGTGTTGTTCCTTGTTTTTGCTCGTTTAGCTTAATTTTTTTTAATTCTTTAATCTCCTTTATAAATTCAGTATCGATTTCGCTTTCTAAATTTGGGGACAAATTAGGATCTTCTAAACGTCGTTTTTGCCTCAATGTAGGATTGGGTGATGAAGAAGCACTGGTTTGATTTTGTTGGGGCTCTTGTTCGGGGGATGAGGGTAGATTTTGTTTTTTTAGGTCATCGATTGTGTATATGTCTTCTCCAATTTTTATTGTATTTCCCTTAATAACTGCTTTTAACCCCTTAGAAGTTGCTTCTTTTTTATATTTATTTAGGGTCTTGTTTATTTCTTGATCTTGAGGGCAAAGGTCTGGATTTATATATATATTGATTTGCCTTTTAGCTTATAGGCGTTTTTAGAACCAGTAGTTTTTTTTGGTATGAAATAAATTCTATCAGGATTGGGGCTGTAAGGCTGTTTTTTGGTCCCAGCTTAAAGGTATCGTTTAAATATGATATTTCAACACTTAAATCTAGATTTGTTTTAAAGAAGTTTATTAGGTGAACTAAAATGTCTTCGTTTTCCCTTACTTGTAAGCCAAAAATGACTAAGTTGTTTTTTCTTATTTTTCTTTGTAATATTATATTCGTTTCTTGCAATTTTTGGTTTTTCTGTTCAAGTTCTGTAATTCTATGGTCGTACTCGTCTAGAACTTTATGAACTTCTTTTCTCAACCCAATTACTTGCGATGCCACTTCTTTAATTTCAAGATTTTGATTGGTTATATTATTGTTTAGTTTATCAAATAAATCGCTTATAAATGTTTTTTGCGATTCACTAAAATCCATTTTAATTATGTTTTACGTGCTACATTAAAAAAACATAAACAAAACAAACAGTTTATTACATAAACAAAACAAGCAGTTTATTACGTATATGTTATATTGTATTAATTGCTATATTTTATTTATTGTTATTTAGGATACTTATATTTTCCATTTAGTTAGCATATTATAATAACCCACTGTTTTTATTTTTAGATATTTATTATTCATTGTTTAATTTTAAGGTGTTTTTTGTTATCAAAAGACATAAATAGGATGAGTTCTCTAACATTCATACATTCGATTCATACTATATAGATTATTCTGTTCTAAGTAATGTCCTAACTGATCTTTAAACTTCGTTTAAATAAATAAAACCAAAGTTATAAAGTGATAAGTGTATTAATACCTTCATAAGAAAATAAAGTTGGTTTTATAAACTTCATAAAAACAAAAACATATAAAATACAGACAACAAAAACTGGTTTAAAAATAAGGAGCATATTCTAATTTAAATTTTTGTTTTAAAATTAAAACATCAAATAAAAACATTATTATTTTGTGTATTAATAATAAGGAGACAATTAATATTTTGTATAAAATCCACCTCGTTCGATTACTTCTTCCAGTCTATTTGGCACAACTCAGGTGTTATTTCCTGCCATCTATTAATTACATAGTTTTGAAGAGCCTCTCTATTTTGTTGAAGGTTAATTGGTTATTCCCGGACAAGATATCCCCAGAGATTTTCAATTGGGTTAAGTTCCGGCGATTTTGAAGGCCAATTGACTAATTCAATATTTGAATGATCTTGAAACCAATTTCTTACAATTCTTGCCTTGTGTATAGGGCAATTATCCTTCATTTAGTAAGGGTAAAATATTTTGCTCAAGAATTTTAATATATTCAACAGCATTTAGTCTGGCGTTTATTGAAACTAAAGGCCCAACTCCTCTCTTGAGGACCAGTACAATTATCTTTCATTGACTTCTCTGTATGCATGAAGTTGACCATGTGCATTCGTTCTGAATGTTTTTTGATCTGAAAACCTAGTAACAATAATTTACCATCCCCACTCCTTACACTTGAAACTTGGTAGTCGTACACTGAAAAAAAAGATTTCTTACATTTAGAACACCAATCATCTTGAAAATATTTTTTTAATTCAAGTCAACTTGCTTTAAAATAAGAATATATATTTCAATTAAAAATATTTAACTTCTTTAAAAAAGAATTTTGTATTTTTGGAAATATTCTAGTATTAAGAAACAGGTTCTTGTTTTAAAAAGTTGCATGTTTTAATTCAAATATTAAATATTCTTGAAGGAAATCTAAGTTGGTTTCTTGGTACAATTGTTAATATTTTTATATCAAGAATACGATATTTTTAATTTTTTTTATTTGTTTAATTTTTTTATATTAAGAAATAGATATTCTTAGATTTGTTTATTTGTTTTTATAAACAGTATTTTCTTTTGCCAAGAATACATATTCTTAAAACTGTGTAGAAGTGGGGATGTCGACACGTTCCTCTTAAATTTTATGCCTAATTATGCAGTGTTTCTTTGTTTTTGTGAGTGAAAGGGCGTAGGTATAATGATTTTATTAAAAAAATTATTAGAAGAGTGGTCAATATCGGAGGAAATTATAAAAAAATTCGAAGGTAAGTAAGTTTTTATTGATATACCACCCTTTTTTAAATTTAGCGTCTCATTTACGTGTAGGTAGGTAGGTTTATTGTTTAAATATTTCGATGACTTTTTGCCAAAGTATCGCAAGCAACATTTATGTTATACCCAAATTTCAGGAATTGAAAGCATTTTTTGTTTTTAAGTCTGTTTTAAATTAAATATAGCCTAAAGGTTTTATAACAAGTAAATGGCTTATAATTATAGCTTTTTACTTGTTATAAAACCTATAGGTTATAATATATATATATATATAATATATATACATATTATGTAGTTTAAAACAGACTTTAAAACAAAAAATGTTTTCAATTCCCCAAATTTGAGTTATGTTGCTTGCCATACTTTGGATGCCTTCTCGGATGCCTTAAAATTATTTAATTCAGAAAAAATAGGCTTTGCAGTGATAACCAAAATATCTTATGTGTTTAACACTATGGCTCTATATTTTTAAGTTAATAAACTTAATTTATTTTTTTAATAAAATATTGTTTTGCCCTATTATATTTTGTTTTTAATTAAAAAATAAAAATAAAGGACAAAACCATATTAAATTAAATGTCATATTTCTAGTAGCTATATCTACTATAGTAGTGACATTTGTTTTTATTTCGTCCGTTAAACATACCCGAGCGCAAGTTATATAAATTATAATAATATAGGTTTTACTGCTGTGCCTGAATAAAAAAATATACTAGAATTAAAGAAATAGTTTTAATAAAAACAGCATTTTTTGGTTTATTTGTTTTAGATAATAAAATTACTCTAGGGCAAATAGAGCAGCTAACAGATGCCCATTTAAGGGAGTTGTGCCCAGATATTGGCCCATTTCTTGAATTAAAATCGAATATTTTAGAATACTTGGCCAGCCGCGACGCTGAGGTAATATGCACTTAGTTACAATATTTTTTTATAATAATAGATATAATAATTGAATCGGTGAGAATAAGAACAGTACAAGTCCAAACATTTTATTTTGACAACTCAATTTTTAAAATCAATTTAAAAGTTTAAAATGCATTTTTGTGAGAAGATATAAACCATTTTACAAAATATGATTATTATATTTTATAAAATAGTTGAAATATTCTCACAAAAATGCATTTTGAACCTTTAAATTCATTTTAAAAATTGAGTTGTCAAAATAAAATTTTTGGACTGTTCTTATTATCACCGATCAATTAATGTAATAATACTACCTCTGGCTATAATAATATTAATCATTACAATCTTAAACTTTTTTAAAACATGTTTTTTCCAAACCTGACATGTAATCTTTATTTTTTTTAGTAAGTATATAGTTTAGTTATTTCCATTTTAAAAACATCCATTTATTTTTCCGCATCGTTTACAGAAAAACTCTTTAAAATATTTTTTTAAATTTATTTACACAGGCTTAAAAATATTTAAAAAATAATATATATTTTTTATTTTAGACGCTTACTGAAACAAATTTTTCTGTACCCGACAAGCCTGGCACTAGCACCGAATCTTTAAATGAAATTCTTCAGGCTATTGAAAACGAAGAAATAGTTACAGAAGATATAAGTTATCAATTTCCTGATTTTGATTTGAAAACCCTTCTTCAAACGTCTCCACTAGGAAAATTTTACGAAACAAACAATTCACTAGATAATTTAAGAAGAGGGAGACTGGTAGACATAATTATTAAACATTTGTTTAATTATATTGTAAAACAGTAAGTAGCTATATTTGACGAAATAAGTTTACAAAAAAAGTGTTAGGTTTAATTGTTTAGTACATACCTAAAAAAATAATCAATTACAAAAATAAATAATCACTTTTAAGTAACAATTAATAAATAGAAAAAAACAATTCAAATAAATTTTAGTAGGTATTTTTACACAAGATTTATTTAGATTAAAAACTTTACTTTTGTTAAACTTATTAAAGTTAATGCAATCTTCAAGTACTTAAATTTTGTATGTAATAAAATTAATTTTTAGTCGATTGAAATACGAGCAATATAATAAAATTAGCGCAAAAATTATAAGCATTTTTCCAAAAGAAAATATTGGAACGTATTTTGTGCCCCCTATACCAAAAAATAAATCAATCAGCGGAAAATCAATTTTTGCTAAAGGGAAACTAGTTGATAAATGCAGAAATCTTTTATACATTTCGGGCGAAAGTAAAAGAAAAAAACGCAGAGAAAGAGACGAAAATGATGACCCCCAAGCCAAAAAATCAAGACTGACTATAGATAAGGGTATAAGTATTTATTTAATTTAGCCATATTATTTTTTTATAAATATAATTTTTTAGAAACTGAAGATGATCAAATTTGGTTAAAATCCAATTTCGAACCATGGGCAACGGTCCTAGAGAAATGGAAAAAAACTTACAAAATTAGACAATCCGAGTCATTTACCACTGTCCATGAATTTATCGAGAAATGGAATATTTTAAAAGACTTGCGAAGTGACGTACTGGTATTTTTTATTTAATTTATCTTTATTATTTTTTATAACAAAATATATTTTTAGATTAATTTAGACTTTGATATTTTATACCCGGATAAGGGATTATATTTGTACAAAAATTGGAATTTCTTTTTTAATAAGCTAATTGCTTTAAAACAAAGTGAAATACAGGATCCAAATATACAAACAACAGTTGAATACTTAAACAAAAACATAAATGAAGGTAAGTTATACAAAAAACAATTGTTTATTTTAATAACTTTATTAGGAATGCCCCGATACAACATCAATATTATTATTATTTATAAATAATAATGTCCGTATCGGAATCGTATCCGCCAAAATGTCATGTCATATTATGGTACTCAGTTTAAAACGGTTTTTTCTGCTTCTCAATAAAAGTTAAAAAATGTTTAAAAAATGACTTGATTTTTGAGCAACTTTTTTAAAAATGCATTTTTAAAAAAGTTGCAAAATTTGTATACTTTAACATGAAAAAACCACGTTGCTTCAATTCTTACAATTAATAATAATAAATATGGGGCTCAAAAATCAAGTGATTTTTTAAACATTTTTTAACTTTTATTGAGAAACAGAAAAAACCGTTTTAAACTGAGTACCCTAATATGACATATACATTATATTTATAATAATTATATATACCTACATATAAAATGTAATAACCAATATTTTAGATGATAACTTTCTAACGGAAATTTCTATGTTGCCGTATTTGTTGCCGCCTAAATCGAGGATAATTTTAAACAAAAAACATTGGAAGTTTTCAATACAAGAGGCTCTTGAAAGTATTATTATTCTTGTTAAAGTAAGTTAAAAATACCAATGCGTAAAGTATATTTATTGCATGTATCTCTTTACTTAATTAAATGTACCTCATAGTACTTACTAAATCGCCAAATATTAACTACTTATGGTGTTTTTTAGAATGCTGATGAAATTAATTTAAAAATTCAGGAAAAAAAAGATAAAAACCTTCAACCTATACAACCTTACTTACTTGTACATGGTGAAAATCTACAAAAAGTAAGAAGCATTTTTATTGTTGTCGATAGTATTAGGTACCAATTTGACTGCCCAAAAAAAGCTTTTGACATTTTATTTAAAATATTTCATGTTTTTAAAGTTAAATATCCCCATCCTTCAGAACATATTTATTTACTTATTCAAGAAGCACTGTATTGTTTTAAAACAGAATACGATAAGGTTATTCCTTCCTTAGTTGACATAATATCAAAATTAAAAAAAGCTGAATTTTAATATGGAATGCCAAAGTTGTAAACAAAGCTTTACCAATTTTAATAAATTTATTTTTCATTTGGAGTGTTCTCATAATATACGAAATTATTATGTTTGTCCCTTTACAATTTGTTCCAGAGTTTACCATAGAAAACATTCTTTTAAATATCATCTTTCAACCTCACACAATGTTTTTGCTCCAACTATAAATAATTATAAGCTCTTGCCAAAAAATATTAATATTCCTTCTAATTCAAATACCGATAATAATGAAGAAACAAATGAAAATAATATTTCATATGAAGATATATGTACGGAGGATATTAACCCTCAAACCCTATTGACTGATTTTCAAACCCTGCTTAGCCAATCTGTGGTTAACCTTATTGGCCAGTTTAATTCAAATTTAGGATTATCCAGATCATATGTTCAAAATGTTATAAAATATATAACAGAATTTTTATCCAGTGGATTCATTGAGAAAATTAAGTTATATCTTAAATTGATTGAATCTAAAGTTGATCAAAACATGTTAGATAACATAAACTTGATGTTAAACTCATTAGAAAACCCATTTACCAATTTGAATACCGAATATAAACGAACCATTTTTTTAAAATCATCCCAACAATATATAGCCCCAATTCAAGTTTTTTTAGGAATTAAAAATGTAAGAATAAAAAAGAATAACCGTGTTTCCATGAAATTAAAAAATAGTTATGCTTCCTATGTCCCATTGAAAAAAACACTAAAATCATTTTTAGAACTTCCTAACGTTTTTAAAATGCTTCAAGATCGCCAACAAAAATTATTAGAAGATTATGACACTAATCCTTACAAACCAATTCGTAATATAATTCAATTATCCGATATTTATAAAAAAAATAACACAAATTTTGAGCTTACAATTCCATTAATTCTGTACTATGACGAATTCGAGACTGGAAATCCATTAGGTAGTCATGCAGGAATACATAAAATGGGGGCAGTATATTATACTATAGCCACTTTACATCCCGAATATGCTAGCAGGTTGGAAAATATATTTATAGCTTTAATATTTTATCATAAAGACAAAATAAAGTTTGGCAACAAAGCTGTGTTTAACAAATTAATTAATGAATTAAACTTTTTAAATAATTGTGGAATATTATTAAACATAGAAAATAAAAAAATTAGAGTAAATTTTGCCGTGTCTGTAATATCTGGAGACAATTTAGGTTTGCATTCAATTTTAGGTTTTAATGAATCTTTTAACTCTAATTATTACTGCAGATTTTGCTTGGCCCCTAAAGCTCAGTTAATTACTATGACCAGTGAAGAAGATCAGTATATTCGTCAAAAGGCTGATTATACAAATCATCTTGATAATAAAATTGGTTTAAAAGAGTCATGCATTTGGCACGAACTAAATAATTTTCATGTTTATGAAAACCTATATTGCGATGTAATGCATGATTTATGTGAAGGTGTCCACAGATATAGTATGTCCTTAATTATTAATAAATTTATTGAAAGTAACTTTTATACTCTTGAAAATTTAAATGAAAAGATTAAATATTTTACATATCACAATAAAGAAACAAATATACCTCTTGAAATAACTGCTAAAAATTTGTCAAAAGGGTATATTATATTATCTGCATCAGAGATGTTATGCTTAGTAAGAAACTTTAAATTTATAGTTGGAAGTCTTATTCCAGTTAATAACGAAGTTTGGTCTTATTATTTGCTTTTACTTCAAATAACAAATATTTTAATGTCCCAAACTGTATCAGATGCATCATTACAGTTATTAAACAATTTAGTTAAAGAGCATCACAACTTATACTTATCTCTTTTCCAAAATAACTTAAAACCAAAGTTTCATTTGCTTCTTCATTATTCTCGAATTATAAAAAAGGTCGGTCCCCCAATTTTCGTAAGTTGTTTCAAATTTGAGGCAAAACATAGAGATTGCAAAGTTGTCGCGCAATCTATTCGTTGCCGAATAAATTTACCAAAGTCACTTTTAACAAAATGTCAATTAAAAGTATGTTATCGGTTTAATTTAAACAAAGGACTTGAAGATGATATAAGTTATGGAAAAATTGTGCCTACCAAAAAAAGCTTTTTTGGTAGAATATCAAAGTTAAATAAACAATATTTCTATACCAAATTTTATAAAATAAACGGTGTTAAATATGAACCAGATATGATTTTAGTTTATAAATATGAACAAGATGAAATAACGTTTTGTCAAATCAAATCAATATTTGTAAATGAGTTGGACCTAAAAGATGTTGTTTTAGAATTAATTTTATTACAAACTTTGGGGTATATCAATCATTTTGATTCACATAGGGTGGAATTCATTGGCAATAGCCCTAAATTATTTATTAAAATTGGTAATTGCCATTGTACTATGCCAAAAATGTTACAAATTATTTCAAATGAAAAATATGTCGATATTAATGATTAAGTTCCCTATAGGGAATTTAGGGCCGGTTTTTCAATCGTTGGTAAAGTTTATATGCTAAGAAAGTTTTCTTAGATACTATTGTGTTGACAATAGTACCTAAGGAAATTAACCGTAAGTTTATAAACTTAACCAACGATTGAAAACTGCAGTTTTTCAATCGTTGGTTAAGTTTGGCCCTTAATCATTAATATCGACGTATACGTTAATTTATAATAATGTTTTGTGTTTTTCTTGTTTTAAAAACAAAATAAATGTGTTTGTTCAACGTTTGTTTTTTATTTTCAAACCTAAATTTTTTTGGTTGCTGCACCACCTAGAAACTATACAACGTTATACTTTGGCCCTTCAGTAAGTTTGGCTCAATTTTGAATAATCCGTAAGTATTTAAATATAAATTTTTGTTTAAGATTAGACAACAATCCTTAAAAAATTACAAGATATTTAAAATAACGCCAGTCCTCTTCAAGTGTTTAGACGTATTTTTATTTCTCTTGCAGTAATATTCCTAAATAAAAGGATGTTTTTATTATTAGAATAAATAATTTTTAGTTAATAGACGTGTCCTTATTTAATATTTTATTGATTTTAAATACAAAATGATATGTTTTTTAAATATTGCTAAAAGTAGCTTAAAATTAAGATACACTTTATTTTTAACGATACTTCTTGCTTTGTTTTAAAATAAATGTTATTTTGTAATCAATGAAATAAAATTTGAAATCTTACATTGATTAATTAAAAAATATATTGTGTTATAAAAACATCTTTATTTAAGAAAATTATTGCCTTATTTCAATATCACATGTTCTTCTTTTAAGAAAATTTCTTGAATTAAGTATCTTTTTTTATTTAAGAATACAACTGATTTTTTTTAAAAGAACATATTCTTGCTTTAAAACAACCAATTATTTGGTTAAAGAAATCATTTTTTTTATTTAAGAATATATTTTTTTTATTTCAATATGTTACTTCGAATTTTTTTGTTGGAAGAAAATACATTTTCTTGATTTAAGTAAATATTTTTTTTATTTAAAAATATTGCTGCCTTATTTAAAAAAATATATATTCTTGCTTTTAAACAATCAAAGTTTTATTTAAAGAAATTTAATTTTCTTACATTAAGAAAATGTATATTCTTGCTTTTAAACAATCAAAGTTTTATTTAAAGAAATTTAATTTTCTTACATTAAGAAAATATTCTTGAAGTAAATCAACGTGAATTAAGAAAATACTTTTCTATTTTAAAGAATATATTCTCTTCGTTATATATGAGACACAGATTGTTTTGAATCAAATAAATTTATTTGATACAAGAATATTTTTTTTTCAGTGTACCGTACGTCGTAAGTGCGAGTCATTGTTTTCAGCGTTATCAGTGTAAACATTTAAACAGAGTGAAATTTTGTAATTCTGTAACTTTTGAGGTGATTGTGATGGATTTAAATAATTCAGGTAAGAATCAAGTATTCTTTATATTTTTAAACTATCTTTAATGTTATTTTATATTATTTGTAAAATTTAAAAAAAGGTTGTTTTGTATTGAAATGTTTACTTAATTTTCATGTTTATAAGACATTTAGTTATATAATTGCCTCCTCTTGAGCAATGCTTGTTATTGTATTGTTTACTTTATATATTAGGCTAATTCATGACATAAAATTTGGGTGCGGTAGAACTGCGATTCAAGTTTTGTACTGTTTCGGATGATTTGGAGAATATTAAAAAGTAGAGAAAGCCGCGCCGTCTTTATTGGGTCTATAAAGCCGTAAATACCTATTTAACTATGAATGATTTTGTACGCTATCGCTGTACAGAATGTACTAGGCGGGGCAGACGCGTGCGCGCTCGCGCGGTTTCGATGTCTGCCAGTGGAACGCGGGGAAGTGACGGAAGAAGAAGGGCATCTTGTGTTTGGCCCGTGACCTGTGCACATCGCAACTAACACCGCCGTCAGTGTTGCCAACACGGCGGTTTTCCCGTCAAATATGGCGGAAAAAAAATTGACTTAACGGATAAAAAATGGTTTTAGCGGATAGCGGATTTTTTAGCGGAAAGGATTAAAACTTCTGGCGGATAACAGTTACAAAAACCGCTAAAAAAGTATTTAAAAAAATATAACTTAGTTAGTTCTAAGTTTCTAAAGAGTTGGCGACACTTTAATGGGATGTCTTTAACCGGAGATGAAAGATGAAAATTTTAACAGAATATCCAACAAGTATACCCAAAAATTTAGAGAGGCCTGGCTGAAAGACCCCAATTTAAAGGAATGGCTTACAAGTGTAGAGTCAACAAACGGTAAAATTGCAAAATGCAAATTATGTATTTGCTCATTATCCAATAAATACAGTGATTTGCTTAACCATATGAAAAGCAAAAAACATACCAAAAATGCAGAAATTATTTTGGGGCAAAAAAAACTAAACTTTGCTCAAGAAAAGCATTTGAATGGAACAAAACTTGCTGAAGCTCAACTGGCTCTTTTTGTAGCATGTCATAGCTCCATTTCTACTGTTGATCACTTAGGCCACATTTGCAAATCCTCTTTCCAAGGTTAGTTGTTATTTATGCATTTTATTGTATAATTATTGGCTGGAATAATTATAAGCCTAATTTTATAACTTTTTTTGTAGGAAATGAGGTCACATACCTTCAAATTCATCGCACAAAGTGTTCAGAAATTATCAAAAATGTATTAGCACCTTATTTTGCTCAAAGGCTGTCCGAAGATATTGGGGACCTGCCATATAGCTTGTTAATAGATGAATCAAATGATATTTCAGTCATAAAATACTTGGGTTGCTCCATTAGATACTTCAGTCAAAAAAGCTCAAAGATTGTTTGCACAAGTTTGGGTTTGGGTCAGCTTGAATCTGCTAATGCAGATGGTATTATCCAATGTCTACTTTTGATTCTAAAGAAGTACAATCTTAAAATTGAAAATATGCAAGGTTTAGACACAGATAATGCTTCAGTGATGACTGGTGTTAATAATGGAGTATACAAAAAATTACAAACCTACAACCCAACATTGGTTTTGATTCGCTGTGTGTGTCATTCTTTACAGCTGGCATCATCATATGCTACAAAAGAGTTGCCAAAAAACTTATGACTGGTTTTCCAAGTCTTCCTCTCGACAGCTTCAATATAAAGATCTATATGCAGCAATAAATGATGGTGCTGAACCCCTCAAAATTGTACAAGCATGTAATACAAGGTGGCTATCTATTGAACCTGCTGTGAGCAGAATTCTCACTCAGTGGATAGAACTAAAAACACATTTTCAAATTGCAAAAATAAGTAATGATAAATGTCATATGGCAGACTTATTGCATCAAATGTACTGTGATGATTTCTATTATGCATATTTATATTATTTACAACCTATATTAGTTGAAGTTAACAGAGTAAATAAAAGTTTTGAATCTAATGTGGCAGATCCTACTAAACTTTTAGATGATCTGTTAGAATTATTAAATACTTTAACGAACAAGGTGACTATTAACAAACATTTTAATATTTTTCAAGATGACATTGAGTCATATGTGTACAAAAAATGCAGCCTTGGTTATCTTTTTGAAACCCAGTTAAAAAAAATGGTAACAAAGGGTTTTAAAGATGAGGATGCCTTAAGGGGTCGTTGCATAGAATTTCTACTGGTTTTAATTAAAGAAATTAAACATAGACTGCCAGACAACATACAAATATTAAAAAAAATGTCATATTTCTCAGTTAATAATACTCTTAAACACAATAAAGGAGATATTATTGAACTTTTAACCTATTTTAAGAAACCTGCCAATGAAATAGCTTTGGTGGAAAGTGCTCAATTACAAAGATTCGCAGGGTTGGCAAGTGTTTAAAGAATTGTCCACATTGGCAATTTCAATGTTGACTTTGCCTCATTCAAATGCAGATGTAGAAAGGCTTTTTAGCATGATGAACATAATAAAAACCAAAATACGCAACCGAATGAGACTAAATGTTAAATTCAATTTTAACCATAAGGTCAAGTTTAAAAGCATCACTCACTTGTTGCGACACTTTTAAAATGCCAGAGGCAATTATTAAAAAAATTAAAACCAAAGAAACTTATACCACCAACGAAAGTGATGAGACTGAAGATATTTTTGACTTAATATAAATTACACTGTGCGACAAATTTTGACCTTACAATTTGAACTGGGATGAAATGTGGAAAAATCGAATCTATGCAACCCCCAAAACTAATCTTTAAAGGGGTTTTGCTAGTTTAGCTCGAATAATGGAGATATACAGGGTGTTTCTTTCAACTTGAGACAGCTCAATATCTCGAGAAATACGCATTTCACGGAAAAATGTCTTAATTAAAAGGTTAATGTGACCAAAGGGGACATTATTTGGTGCTACCGCTAGCCACCCCCTACCCCTTCTTAAGGGTGAAACGGGGGGTAACTTTGGAAAGTCAAATGGAATGACCCGATTTTTTTCACAGAGTTTGGTAGTACATAAAAAAATGAATAACTTTTATTTGAAAGTTTTTTTCAATTTATCAACAGATGGCGCTGTAATTCAAAATTTAAGAAAAAGGGGTTTCCTTGTAAAATGTATTATTTGAAACGTTTGAAATGTGTTAATTTTTGTTCTTCAAACGTTTCAAATAATACATTTTACAAGGAAACTCATTTTTCTTAAATTTTGAATTACAGCGCCATCTGTTGATAAATTGAAAAAAGTTTTAAATAAAAGTTATTTATTTTTTTATGTACTACCAAACACATAAAAAAATGAATAACTTTTATTTGAAAGTTTTTTTCAATTTATCAACAGATGGCGCTGTAATTCAAAATTTAAGAAAAAGGGGTTTCCTTGTAAAATGTATTATTTGAAACGTTTGAAATGTGTTAATTTTTGTTCTTCAAACGTTTCAAATAATACATTTTACAAGGAAACTCATTTTTCTTAAATTTTGAATTACAGCGCCATCTGTTGATAAATTGAAAAAAGTTTTAAATAAAAGTTATTTATTTTTTTATGTACTACCAAACTCTGTGAAAAAAATCGGGTCATTCCATTTGACTTTCCAAAGTTACCCCCCGTTTCACCCTTAAGGAGGGGTAGGGGGTGGCTAGCGGTAGCACCAAATAATGTCCCCTTTAGTCACATTAACCTTTTATTTAAGACATTTTTCCGTGAAATGCGTATTTCTCGAGATATTGAGCTGTCTCAAGTTAAAAGAAACACCCTGTATATCTCCATTATTCGAGCTAAACTGGTAAAACCCCTTAAATGATTTGTTTTGGCGGTTGCCTAGATTCGATTTTTTCAGATTTGTTCCCACTTAATTTTTTGTGTTGCACAGTGTTATATATATATTATATAATATAATAAAAAAATAATAATAATATAATAAAAAAATTGTTGTTTTTGTATTTATTTATATTTTTAATTTTAATAAATGTTTTGATGACTAATAAAATGTTTATTTTTTTAACAATTAATAATTAAAAAGTATAACATCGTAATATGACTGCAAATTTTTGTGGGAGGAAAATAATTTTAAGTACCTAAAAAGAATTAAACCGAGAATAAGAAAATACAATATATTTTTCTATTATTCCAAAAATAACACTGACCGCCGTACCGATTTGTAAGTACTTGTAAAACTATTGCTTTTTAATGAATTTCCTCTTTGCTTTGCTTGGCCTTGCTTCAATCTAATCGTATTAATAGTGTAGACTTGTAAATACTAAACTGCTGCCGCAGTTTTGCCTCCGACGCTATACGTGTTCGGTGAACGTCTACGAATCGTAGCTAGTTGCGTAGCCGGTGATTTGCCGCCTACATTGTACTTAGTTGCACGCTGTCACTTTTATTCACACCTATTTCACTACTAATAATTGTTTACATTTCATCGCCGTTTACCATTTTCGGCTTATTACATTTATACCATCCCCCTGGCCGTTTCCCTTCTCTGCTCGCCATCACGCTTTCTTAACAATATTGGTTTTCGTTTGTTTGATAATTGTTTTATGTTAGATACAGGTAGTTTACATTTATTATGAATAAATTGATTTTATAAGTTCGTTAATATACGTATTAAGTTTACTCCAGAGTTTCATTGCTAACTGGACCCTGGTTTACTTTCTCCACTGTATAAAAGCTACCCAGGTGTGGCGCTTCACCACAATAACAATAAAAAGGAAGCTAGCGCCCGAGATTGTATTTGTATTAGACAAACCAATAGGTAAGTGCGTCACTAGAAAGTAACGTTACAAAATGGCGCCCGCGCAGGGACTCTAGCCAGCCGTTTCGTCAAGACCCTATCGCTTATCGTATAAAATAAATAATAGTAATAAAATAGTGGTAACCACTCAAGTACAACTGAGCCGTAGCTGAGGATTTCGAATCTTCCAAAAGTTTTGACCGAAAGGGCCTTAGCAACATTTTGGAAATAAAATAGTGGTGTGACCACTCGATTCCAATTAAACCGGAGCCACTCGAATCTGACTAAACCGGAGCCGAGGATTCCAAATTTTTTTAAATTTTTGGCCTAAAAGGCCTTAGTCAGATTTTGGAAATAAAATAGTGGTGTGACCACTCGAATCCGACTAAACCGGAACCAAGGATTCCAAATTTTTCAAAATTTTTGGCCTGAAAGGCCGGAGTCAAATTGTAGCTTCTAAGTAAGGGTGCGACCACCCTTTTCTACTAAAACTAGGTCGTAGAATCCGAACTTGCCCTTATTTTTCCGCGATCTTATTTTTTTTTCTAAAAGTTTTGAAAGTATTTGTGAAAATCCGTGTTCTCCTGGCAACATGGGCAAGGGTAGCAAGCGAAAAGGCCGTCAGTCTGACCCGATTTACGAAAGCAATGTATCCGGGGATGAGGATGTCCCGGTGGACAACCCCACCGCCGCAGATATTCGCGTAAGCTGGGTTTATCAATTACGGTCGGCAGAATTAGATGAATAACTAAAAAAATTTAGTCTGGTTACGACCGGTACTCGCCCAGATAAACGGAAAAGACTCATAAAATTTCTCCGGTCGGGAACCATAAGTCCGTGAAGCCCCACCGTTTGGCCGTCGGTCGTCACTGTCACTTTTATTCACACCTATTTCACTACTAATAATTGTTTACATTTCATCGCCGTTTACCATTTTCGGCTTATTACATTTATACCATCCCCCTGGCCGTTTCCCTTCTCTGCTCGCCATCACGCTTTCTTAACAATATTGGTTTTCGTTTGTTTGATAATTGTTTTATGTTAGATACAGGTAGTTTACATTTATTATGAATAAATTGATTTTATAAGTTCGTTAATATACGTATTAAGTTTACTCCAGAGTTTCATTGCTAACTGGACCCTGGTTTACTTTCTCCACTGTATAAAAGCTACCCAGGTGTGGCGCTTCACCACAATAACAATAAAAAGGAAGCTGGCGCCCGAGATTGTATTTGTATTAGACAAACCAATAGGTAAGTGCGTCACTAGAAAGTAACGTTACAAAATGGCGCCCGCGCAGGGACTCTAGCCAGCCGTTTCGTCAAGACCCTATCGCTTATCGTATAAAATAAATAATAGTAATAAAATAGTGGTAACCACTCAAGTACAACTGAGCCGTAGCTGAGGATTTCGAATCTCCCAAAAGTTTTGACCGAAAGGGCCTTAGCAACATTTTGGAAATAAAATAGTGGTGTGACCACTCGATTCCAATTAAACCGGAGCCACTCGAATCTGACTAAACCGGAGCCGAGGATTCCAAATTTTTTTAAATTTTTGGCCTAAAAGGCCTTAGTCAGATTTTGGAAATAAAATAGTGGTGTGACCACTCGAATCCGACTAAACCGGAACCAAGGATTCCAAATTTTTCAAAATTTTTGGCCTGAAAGGCCGGAGTCAAATTTTAGCTTCTAAGTAAGGGTGCGACCACCCTTTTCTACTAAAACTAGGTCGTAGAATCCGAACTTGCCCTTATTTTTCCGCGATCTTATTTTTTTTTTCTAAAAGTTTTGAAAGTATTTGTGAAAATCCGTGTTCTCCTGGCAACATGGGCAAGGGTAGCAAGCGAAAAGGCCGTCAGTCTGACCCGATTTACGAAAGCAATGTATCCGGGGATGAGGATGTCCCGG